CCCTAATATACACTGGTAAAAAAATGATTTACCTACACATATCTTACACATATTGGGTACTCAAAATGTAGAAAATCATACACAAATAATACACATATCATACACATATCGGGTACTAATATATATATCATACATATATATAACAGGTACCTGATAGGTATACTATATATATAAGTACCCAATATGTGTATAATATGTGTATTATTTGTGTATGATTTTCTACATTTTGAGTACCCGATATATGTAAGATATGTGTAGGATATGTGTAGGATAGACCATTTTTTTACCAGTGATAATATGTCTGTCATAATATAATACGAATTACGTCAAAATAAAAATCTATGATGAAATTAATTATAGCAGATTTTTACAGACGTAATGCCGAAACTGTAATTAATTCGCACTGAAGTATAACATAAACTAGCATATATCTATCTTCCTCTAGTTCTTCTGGTCTTCCAGTTCTTCAGTTAGCCTCTTACTCTGTTTACCCTAAATCTAACTTAAGTCTAACCTCTGCTATCCTAAAATCTAACCTTTGCGTTCCTAAAGTCTAATCTTTGCTGTTCTCAAGAGTGCACTCAATTTTGGAAAGACTTTTTGTATGTCTATTTTTATGTAAACTAAAAGGACACAAAGGTACAATAAATCCAATCCTGCTATACATTTTTTTGGTTAGACCTGGATCAAATTATTGGTTAGACTTTGCTATCCTAGCATTTTTATATATAATACAGAGGATCAATGGAATCATTCCTGCAGATTAGACTTTGATTAGATCAAAACTGCTTAAAAAGGGATTCCTGTATGAGTATGACTTCTGTAAGGTTAGATTTAACATAGTAGTAAAAATTGTTATCCTAGAATTAGCTGAAAAGGGTTTTAAATCCAATAATAGAGGTTAGACTTTTATTTAGCTTATTTACCAAATGAATCACTTTTAGAGTATCATAAAAAATAGTATGCCAAAATGAATTGCTGAATCATGCCGATTGCATTACAGACACTTCGTGTCTTTCATACCTCTGACACTTATAAAGGTAATCTAATATAGTATAAAAATCATGATACTCTATAAAGGATTCTAATGTGGTAAAAAGGTCCTATAATACTACTTAGAACTATATTAGAAAAACCAGACAGAAGACTTGAGAGGTGAAATCAGTATAGAAAAAATGGTTAGACTTTGCTGTCTCAGTACCCTATGATAACCTATTAGAAAATCCAGGCAGGAGGTCTGAAAGGTGAAATTAGTATAGAAAAAATGGTAAGACTTTTGGTAAGACTTTTGCTGTTTCAGGTCCCCTAAAGTTGTCTATATTCATTTATTAACCAATCCTTATATTTCTTTCTGTTGTTACTTACTAAACTGGTGGTAACAATAATAGTATTATATGATTTTTTACTAGAATAGTAATTGATATAATTAAAATTTTGTGTAATGCATTTCCCATTTTTGATAAAAAAATTTTTGGATTGTATAAGTGTTCAAAAAAGAAAATTTTAGCCAGAATTATAAATTTGGCTGAAAATATAGGATGTAACAAATAAGAGTGACAAATAGGATTTCTCATACTGAAGTCTTTAGAATACATAGTAAAAATAGAATATGACAAATTATATATTGTTAAAAAATCACATGACATTGGTAAAATTACCTATAGCAATTTTATTTTTTTATTTATTTTCGCTCAGCAATTTTATTATTTTTATATATGTAATTTTTTTTTTTTGAAAGGAAGTTTGAAGCGATGTTAGCGGATGCGGTAAATAAATTTGGTACTTATCATGACGAAATGTCATATGTTAAATAAATATATAAATAAATTTGGTATTGATCTTATATATTTAATAAGAAAAGTATTTTTTTAAAGGTATAAACTTTTTTTTATATAATTTAAATAATAAAACAATACCGAATCTAATTAAATACAATACAAACAAAATCAAAATGAAAAATTAAAAAAAAGAAAAGAAAAGCAATTAAAATTAAGTCAAAAATTACAATAATGTAAATAAAATAAATTTTTATACACAGAAAAAGAAAAAAAAAATAAAAAAATATATATATAAAAGTATACTTTTCAAAAAGAAAAAGATATATATATATATATATATATATATATAAAAATAAAATAAAAAATAAAGTCCTTTTAAGTTGTATAAGTAATATTTTTTTTCCAAACATTAGATAATCTATTAGCGAAACCACTCATTCCATTAGTAATATTAACTTTATTATTGGTATAATTAGTAGGTAAAGATAGTCCACTCGTTAAGCCGTTATTTGTTGTTTTCGATTGTAATGATAGTATATTCGACTTTGTAATATTTGGTCTTAAATATGTTGTGGTTGAAGAACGTGAGGTTGAAAAGTTATTTAATGAAGTACGACCAGATACGACACCTTGTACTTTTCTTAGCATAGCCAATCCTTTAACTTTAACTTCTTGAGTACGTAATAGATGATGGTTATTGTTACTTGTACGTTGTCGTATATTATAAAATTTCGTATCTTTTGATTTAACGAAATAATTGTACAAAATTAATAAAAGGCGTCAAAAATATTGAATGTTGATGATAAGCCTTACTAGTGGTCTCAACAGGAAAGCAACCGCTAGTTTCGAGTATACTGTCTCCAGGGGAAGGATCATTATTATCATAATATTCGTTACCTGATGATGAATAATAATTAAAATCTTCCCCTTTGAAATTTGTTAAGGAATATTCATCTAATTCATCATCTTCTTCATCATTTAATTTTGCTAATAATCGTAATTCTCTTAATGAATATGCTTTGCGCAATACCGTTGCTGGATCTTGAATTGGATAGTTCTGTTTCATCAACCGAAAAAAAAAAATATTTTATTAAATACTTTCGTACCGTTATTATTTAACAATATATATATATATTCAATTTAACTTTACCTGTAATAGTTTGACATTATCAGAAAATGAACCTGTAAGCAATTCATCCTTCACACACCTAAAAAGAAAATTTTTTTATTATTGCCAATTAAACTCGTTGTGGAAGTAGATATATATCTTACATTAACATGGCACAACAAAAATCTAACAAAAATTCAAAACCACCCGTTGATTCAAAGTCATCATCCCGATCGGATAAAATACTATCCCATAATCTAATAACATCAGGTAAAGCAAATTCTTGCGTTAACATAACTGTTATCCAACGAAATGAATAGTATGTTGGATATAAAGATTTCCTTTCCTATAGATAAAATCGAAAGGTTAAACTTGATCTTTTCTTTCTTTGAATTAATGATTTTTTTTTTTTTTTAAAAAAAAAAATACATTAGAGCTGAAAATTGAATCTTACCAAATCTCTCCATAAATCAGGTGCATATGTTTTTAATCTTCTATTTAATTTTTTCATAGTATGACCAATACCGGTTGCTTCATCCGTATCTAAACTTCTAACAAAATGATCTCTAATAAAAGACATCAATAATGTAAACACAAAAAATGAATCCGCTTCAGCATGTGCTAGATATTTAAATTATTAAAAGATTTTGAAATTTCTAATTAATAATAATTTTAAGTAAAATAAAATAAAAAAAAAAGACAAGCATAAGATTATGTAAAAAACTCTTCATTAATTAGATATGATAAAAATTTTGATCAAATATGAATTAAGTACCTTTCCCTTCTTCATCAGAATCATTTGCCATGGTGTAATAAATAGGACCCAAAATTTCATTCATCCCTTGTACATAACCAACACCAGGATTTAATTTAGCATATATAAATAATATACGTTCAATGGCTTCCCAATGTAAATCAACTTCACAATCATCATCACGAATAATTGATCCATCGGACTTACAACTTGAAGCAGGAGAACAAGGTCTTGTATTTGCACTATTTCCTCTCACACCAAAATCTTTATTCAAATGTTGCACACGTTTAAATATAGATCTACGAGTTGGTATAGGTGTAACGGCAGGTTGTGGTGGAGGTGATGATGGTCTATTACTGTATAAATCCAAGGGTATAGGTTTTGGACTACACATACTAGAAAAACCTTTATAAAGGTTTCCGCTTGTGAATTGTGATGATGGTTGAGATATTATTGATAATTGAGCCTCTAATGCAGCAACTTCAGCATCTAATTCTGAATGAATGGTCAATGTAGAATCACTATAATTACTTATACTAGTCGAATCATCATTAATATCTAGTGTTTCAAGTAAAGAAGGTGATCGAGCCCCATTCATTCGATTTATTGCTTCAAGTTTTGGACTTAGAGGGCTAAGAGGACTATGTGGTACTGGTAATTGAAAAAATGCAAGATCTGGTAATGTACGTCTAACATCCTTATCTATTTGTTCTAGTATGGAATTGTCAGCAAAATATTCTGCCCATTTTGAATTTGGTGAAGAATTTAATGGATGATCATCCGATGATACATCTGGATTTTTCAATTCTTCTTCGCTTGGATCTGCCAGCAAATCCCTAACAAAACTCTGTTTTTTTTAGGAAGAAGTAAGATAAGCAAATGTGTATATTTATTCAAACCGAATATTATTCATTTTGTTATAAATAGTTCAGTTAATTTAGACTACCTACATAATAAGTTGACCTTTGTTCTTCAAGCACACTTTGCCATTTTCTTTTATCAGGTGGCAAGTATCCTAACAAAATCTATTAAACCATATCATGTGATAGAAAATAAAAAAATTACCATTTAATGTTAAAAAATCTCATCAAATTTAGGAAAACTAACCTTCCAGCTTAATTGTCTAATACCCGGTTTATCAGGAATGCCTATTAAAAATTGGGATATCCAATTTTAATTCGATTCAATTCGATTCAATTACATTTAATTAGATTCAATTACATTTATACCGAAATACACATACAAGTAATAATAATTTTTTTTTTATTGTAAAACAATTCATTTTGTTTTAATATAAAAAATATATTCAATAAAAAAAAGCTCACCGCGAAAACATAAATGTCGAAACTTGTAAAGGTCTATTGTAGGCTCAGTATCTATATTTTTTGTATTTAAAATATCTTCAAATTGAGTAAGTCTATACATTTATAACGCAAAAAGTAAATGAAGAATAAAGTTAATAAATGGCTATGCACTTTTTTTATATAACCGAATTATTTGCGAGTTATTAAGTGAATACCTTTCTTTATAGTCCATTTCTTCTTCTACTCTATATTAAAACTTTTTTTTTTACAAGAAGCTAACTACTAAAAGTAAATTTCAATTAAAATTTTTTTTCATTTGAACCTTTTTTTTGGGGGAGAATGTTTTCGCTGCATCATATAAACGGTGCGATACAAACTTGAATTTCTGTTGTACAAAGTAAGACTACTTAATTCCCATCAGGAAAACCCCGCATATACACCTGTGCCATAATTTGATAATTTGACACATGGGCTTACATTCGGGCTTTTTATTGATTACTATATTATATTCATCGGGACCTATGATCATTAAGCACAGACAGGGTTCACACATATCTTACCAATTTTAATTTTTATTATAAATTGTTTCAGTATATTTTTAGGACCTCGTTTTGTCCAACAATGACTCATTCAAAGAATATCAAAGAAAGTACCAATAAAAAACGCAAAAATTTAACTAGGGTAAATAAATTCAATTCAATTAATTAATTTTTAAAATTTTTCAAATAAAAATAAATTTATTAATGGTAAGACAAAATTAAATTAACCCATCAATATCTTGCAGGATAAAGTTAAAAAAAAGAAACTAAAAATTACGAAGTCAAAAGAAAAAATTCAAAATAATGATAGTACATCAAATGATCCTAATATTTTGGATCCTAAGCAAGAATTAGAATTAAATAATGTTCAAAGAGAAAAGAGGAAGAATTTAGATATTTTAAAAAAGGGGAAAATTTTTGTAGATAAAGATACGATGATGAAATTAATTGATCAATTGAATGAAAAAGAGGATGAACGTATTGAAGATAAATTACAGCGCCAAGTAATAATTTGTTTTTTCTTTTAAATACAAATATTAATTCTTGTTTTTTTTTATTAAAATAAGAAATAAGAGTAATTTACATTATTATTTTAATAGAATAATCTCGAACAAATAATAAAAGATCGTCAAATTAAACAACAACATAATCGATCAATTCGTAAAGAAAAAATTGAAAATGCTAAACAGCTGATTAAGAACAGAAAGAAAGGAAGGAAGGAAGGAAGGAAGGAAGGAATCAAAATTGATAAAAATTTATGATTATTATATTGTTATGCATTTTTTCCTATAACTTAATTCTGATCTTGATCAAAGTAATAGAGAGATGTTTAAGTTGAAACATAAGTAAAAACTAAAAAAAAATAAAAATAAAAATAAAATAATAAAATGCACCTGATAATATTCCGCATTTCCTTCCAAATTTACTTCTGATTGATAGAAATAATCTCTTAACTTTAATTAATCTTTAAGGTATTACATTTTTATTAATCATCAAAAAAAATTAATCGTATTCGAATTTTCCTTCTTTCGTCTTGTAGTAAACTGCTAGAAAATCATTTTCAAATAAATTTGATGTAGATCAACTTTTCATTAAGAATACTTTGTCACTCTTCATATTTTCTATTAGTCTTCGGGTACGGTACTACTTTTTTTTCCACATACATATATTAGCCGCGATCTATTTCATTTGTTTCATTATATCAAACTACTGGAAGTTATTTTATGTTTTCGAAAGGTTACTTGAGATTTGATCTACTACTAAGCTGTAAGTAGCATAGAAACATAACAAGTATATCAGTCTTTTTCCGAATCTTATTCTACTTTCAAAAAAAGTAACAAGAAAATTGAATGGTAACAATCAACAATCTGCAGTTCGTCATCGGCGCGTAAATATCGGAAAAATTGATTTGATGTACGGTAAGTGTATTAGTGTATTACGTTATGTAATGCTAATTCAGAATTTGAAACAGTATACACCTAAATTAGTTAATTTGTTTCCGAGATAGTCCACTTTTTAAATTTTAAATATTTCTTGTAAAACCAAAAATACTTATTAATAAACTATTAACAAATAGGTGCATAGCAATGATACAGTGATACAGAGAATATCAATCACATTTGCTAGGAGGTATGGAATTTTGATAAGTCATCCTCCATCTGGTCATTCAAAAGAGCATTAGTCCTGTCTTGTAACAAAGATGATTTCTTGATTTTTGACATTTTAAACATATCGTTTCCCTCCTTTTTATAAACGGAGTAGCAGAAGAGAATACAAAGGCAAGAATAAGATCCTTCTTTTTGATGATTTCATTGAATTATGAAATTTAAGGGAGAATTAACGAGTTCAATATGCATATTTACAACGAGTAAGATTTTATGTATTATTTTTAATTTATCATGAAATAAAATATAATTTAGTAATAGCTTATCAAATATTCCGCACTTCAATACTCGATTTTTATTAGTTGTTACACTCATCTACTCCTCTTAAAGCCTTAAAAGTGCAGTCCGGCTAAGATTGGAATTTCATAAAACTAGAGGAACGTTTCTAACTGGCAATAAATTCACAAATACTGTAATTGCTAAATGTCATTTATATCTTGTAAAGATTAAATTATTTATGCAAGAAAAAGAATAAACTAATTTTTGTTTATTACATTAAAATTGTCAAAACTTCAAAAACTCAATTGATATATTATATATTATAAAAATCATAAATATATATAAATAAAAAATATTAATAAACCTAAATAAAATTTTATATTTTATGTAATTCTTTGCCAATCATTTTTTTTTAATCTGAAATCTTTATAAAATTTTCAAAAAAAAATTATTTGTGCTATTATTCATTTTACTTTATATAGATTTTATTTATTTAGATCAGTTTTTTATATTTTTAATAATAATCCAGTTGAATTTTCACCTGTTTGCATGGTTTATATTTAAATTATTAAATTATGCATTTGGTATACTTAGAAGATATACATGTATTTGATTGTAAATTTAGGCAAAATTATATAATTATATAAAATTTACAAGTAAGTTAAATCAGATTATTACCATTTTGATGATTACATCCTTCTGAGATGATATAGCTTATGATAATTTGTTTGTATGGTATATAAACTTAATATCAATATAAAAGCATATATAAATTATTAAAAAAAAAAAAATCAGATCATTATCTTAAATTAAAAAGAAAATTTCAAAGTTTACACAAGGTGTTTGAATACAGATCATGTAAAATATAATGACACCAATGTCATACCCTTTTACTTTTTCTGTATAATATATGTATTTTTAATTGCTTTGCAAATTTACTTAAGACATCAATAAAGTTTTGAATGCCGTTTTTAACTTATATATAAAAAACTGTCTTTGCCAATCATTTCCCAAATTTTTTTAAAAGTGATCAGCAAAATCAATTATTTATAGGTAAAGTCAAACTGACATTTAAAAGCACCTTTGATGCCTTGAGTAAACTTGTAGAGCAGGCAAAAATCCATTTATCTATTAATTTTGAAGTTTATGCTATTAGTCAAAATGGAAATAATCACATGATCTGGATTCAAATACCCATGTACAAATAGAAATTGCCAATTAAAATTAGTTTTATATAATAATAATAATAATAAATTGCTAAATATCATTATTACTAGTTTAAAAAATTTTAATTTTTTTATGCAATTTTATAAAAGAAAAGGATTTTTTAAGTTCATTATTTAGATAGTTTTAAGAAAAAATTTCAAAATTAACTAAAATGTTAATTTAATTAGTTTTTTACTTTAAATCACTAAAGGTAATTATCATTATTGGCCAGAATTATCAATTTTTATTAGCACTATATTTTTTTAATGCTAGTCGATTATTATAATTTAAGTTATTAGTAGTCATCACCTTTAGTAAAAGTTAGAAAAATTTATTTAATTACTAATATATTATTTCAATTTTATTATATGTAAAAAAATAAAATTTAATTATAAGTAAATTACATTTTTTACTTTAAAATTTTTTTCCAAATTTTAATATATTCAGAATTTAATAATAACTAGGAAATGGGAACCATTGTAAGTCTGAAGTGAGGTATAATAAATAAATATGTAGCGATATTCTACTATACTTCTCCGTTAATTAATTACGTCATATTTTGGTGAACAGACTAATTCACTATTTATTATAAAATTATTATGAATTAATTATGTCTGTCAAAATACATTACGTCTGTCAAAATAAATTTAATTAGTATTTTGTCATTTTGACGAAAAGTATATATTCTACTAATTAGCAGTATAATGCCTTGAAATTCTGGTAATTTTCTACTGATTAGCAGCATAATGCCTTGGAATTGTAGTAATTTTCTGCTGATTAGCAGCATAACACCTTAGAATTCCTGAATAGAGATTGAAAATTTACATGTTATTTTTATAGATTATCATAGTATACTTTTCGTCAAAATGACAAAATACTAATTAAATTTATTTTGACAGATGTAATGTATTTTGACAGACATAATTAATTCATAATAATTTTATAATAAATAGTGAATTAGTTCATTCACTGAAATATGACGTAATTAATTAGCGGAGAAGTATATATCATAGTATGTAAATATATATAATTCTTCGCTTCGCTCTGAATAATTATTTTACATATTTATTATTTAAATTATCTAAATTTTACAATACTGTATGTAAATGTAATTAAACAATCAAGAACTTTTTATCACAAGAAAAACATATTCAATTAAGTCAGGAAGATATACAACAATTACTTATATGGAACAGAAATTTCTTTACCTATACTATTGATGTTAATCTTAATTTATCCATTCTGTATATTCACTTAATGAGAAGGAGTTTCTTTTCAAAAGAAAAATACAGGGAGCTCAAAATTATTGTTAAGACAAAAAGAATAGCATTAACTATTGCAGTCCTTTTTCTAGAAGTATTTGTCAACGAATTCTACAATATTATTTGGCAACCATGTTGCAAGGTAATAGCAAAATGGAAGCATACTAAGGGTATAAAAAAACAAGATTTAAGAAAAAAACTATTAGCACATCAATGTATTGTATATAAATTAAGGTTGCTTGCCGAAACCTAGGGTTTAGGCAAGATGGCGTTTCGCCGAAAAGCGAAATTCTGCTGAAACTATATTAAAGTTATATTAAAAAACTGGCGAAACTTTGGAGAAAGGCGAAACTCTGTCTCTTATACACATCTAGATGTGTATAAGAGACAGGACCAATACCGGTTGCTTCATCCGTATCTAAACTTCTAACAAAATGATCTCTAATAAAAGACATCAATAATGTAAACACAAAAAATGAATCCGCTTCAGCATGTGCTAGATATTTAAATTATTAAAAGATTTTGAAATTTCTAATTAATAATAATTTTAAGTAAAATAAAATAAAAAAAAAAGACAAGCATAAGATTATGTAAAAAACTCTTCATTAATTAGATATGATAAAAATTTTGATCAAATATGAATTAAGTACCTTTCCCTTCTTCATCAGAATCATTTGCCATGGTGTAATAAATAGGACCCAAAATTTCATTCATCCCTTGTACATNCTGAAATCTTATAATATGGTGATCCTATATAATTCAATAGTAACTATAGAAGGATATAGGTGAATTTTATAAGATGATGGTAAGGCACAGGAGCAATCTTATAGATAGAAAACTGGTTTGGAGTTTTAATAAATTAGTTATATAACAGAGGCTTTTGTATTTTTATATATAATTAATAAACTCACAAATTGCATTACCTTGCAAAAAAAAATAAATTATCTAAAATTTTAACAAATGTTTTTAATTTCAGCAAAAATTATAATTTTAACTAGAATTAAATGATATTAATAATCAGTAATAACAATTATATTACTATAAATTTCTTTTTAAATTAAATTACTATACTACTACTTAAAAATTAAGTAATATAAATTTTATTAAAATTTAATTATTAATAAATAATACTTTTAATTTAATTAAAAAAAAAAATTTATTAATTTTTTTAATTTAAATAAAAATAAGAAAACTTACAAATATTATGTAATTATTAAAGAATGAAGTAAAGTAATCAAAATCTTAAATTATACTTAATAAAATCATATGATTTATAAATACCATATTTTGTGGTATATAAGCATTTCCTTTTTGCACTTGATGCCGGCCAAGATCCTCATAATTCTGGCTAAAATCACTAGGGTGCTTATTTTTGGAGGGGAGTGCTTATTTACTGCAAAATATGGTATTATAATTTGATTAATTATTAAATCTGATAAAAGAAAAAAGTAAGTTTATTTATATTAAACTGAATATTATATAATATATATTAAAAGTTTTGTTTTTTATTGCCCTTGTATTATGTTATACTCCTATAATATGTTACATTTAAAAGTCAAAAATGACCTTTTAAATCCTTTTTGATATATTAAGAAAACTTGTAAAGTGGTCAAAAATACAATAATATATAATTAGTGCTCCGCACGAGCCAGTCCAGCTCGAGCCAGCTCGCGAGCCAGGTATATCGAGCCGAGCTGAGCTGCGGCTCGTAATAAATTTGGCTCGGCTCATTCGAGCTGAGCTTTGATACAGCTCATTCGAGCTAGCTCGCGAGTTATGAGCTGGCTTGCGAGCTCCAGAACTTTTTTTCTTTATTATTGCCGGCGTCACATGATTTTTAAATTTGGCCAGAATTAAGTGATCGACATGAAAATTTCCTTTTTTGGAATCCTGTGCAATGCATTTCCCATTTTTTATAAGAAATAAAATTTCCTTTTTTGGATTGTGTAACGTTACTCAGGTGTTCAAAAAGGAAATTTCCATGTCGATTACTTAATTCTGGCCAAAATTAAAAAAATCACGAGAAATATGCAGAATTTGATAAAAGCTAGGCTCGGCTCGAGCCAAGCCACCTTAAAACTCGGCTTAGCTTGGCTCGAGGTTGGCTCAACACGAGCCAAGCTCGAAAATTCTAATCGAGCCGAGCCGGCTCGAATTTTGGCTCAGCTCGGCTCGAGCCGGCTCGTGCGGAGCTTTATATATAATACAGTGATACCTTTATAAGTGCATTCTTTATAAGTGCATGCACTATATAAATTCTCTTTAAGTGCATGGTGGGCCTGATCCCAACTTATAAGAGCTCTTAATATTTTACTCTCTATAAATGCACACCGTCTCTAAGTGCATATTCTACTATTTTTTTACTATGGTTCCAAAGGGGGTGCATAAAGTTTCATACTAGAATTTTTTAAAAAATGAAATCTTAATAAAATCATGTGATCAAAATGATCAACATAATTAATACATAAAAAATGTATTTCTGGATCCTAATTAAATTTTAATATATATGAGAATTTATTAGCTATTGGAATTTGTGTAATGCTGGCAATAATTGGATTTTGACCACATTATAATTTACTGATAACCTATATATAATAATTTGACCAATATTGGTACAGAGGTCTGACTGTAATACTAATTGAACATTTTTTTTGTAAAATACATACTATGGTGTTGAATACCAATGGTATGTTTTAGAAAGTTGAAAAAAAAACATGAAGTCAATATCATAATTTCTTTTTATTTCTGAAATGTTTTACATAATGTTGCTAAACTAATAAAAAAAAAAATACTAATTTATAATTTAACCATTAACTATTTTACTAGATTTATTATTAGTAACTGTGTTCACATTCTTCCCTTTTTTTGCCTTCTTTTTTGTTTCAGCTACCTTACCATCACCACCACCATACCTATTAAGATATTCCTCTTCCTTTTTATCATCAATTTTTTTGAAAAGATATTCAGCTTTACCAAGTTTATGTCCAGGTAAAATATCAATAGTCCAAGTATCAGGTATATCTCTCAGTGGAGCGTTTAATTGTCTGCAAATAGATTCGGTAGTGGAAGGCATATAAGGGAAAAATAAGGCAGATAAAAGATAAATTAAATTAATGGCAATACCAATAACTGTAGAACATTTTTCAATATTATTTTGAAATAGTGAATTATCTAGTTTTGATTCTTGTAAATAACCATTTCCTAATCTTGAAATTTCCATAGCAATTTCCAATCCAGCACGTAATTTAACATTTTCTAATGTTTCAATATAATTTTTTAATAAAGAATCAATATTTTCTATAAATTCTTTTTCTTCAATTTTGTCATAAGAAAATTCTGGTACGATACTATTATATTTTGATGCGGAAAATTTAATTACTCTATTAACAAAATTTCCTAAATTCGCGAGTAATTCATTATTATTTTTTGCAATGAATTCCTTCCACGTAAACACTGAATCGTTTGTTTCTGGTCGGCTTGCAATTAAATAATACCGCCATACTGAAACATTAATACCAGTATCTTTAGCATCTGTACCAAAAACGCCAATATTGCGTGATTTAGAGAATTTTGTATTTTCATAATTCAAGTATTCTGTCACGTTAAATAATGAATTAGCAATTAATACTTTAAAAATGAATTCAATGTAAATATATATAAATGTATCTCACCTGTCGTATTTATATGATATAACAAAGTCCAATCTTCGCCTGTGCCAAATAAAGAACTTGGAAATATAACAGTATGGAATGGGACATTATCTTTTCCCATAAATTGATATAACTTAACGTCATCAGGATTCTTCCACCATTTTTCCCAATGTGGAGTATAATTTGCAGTAATAGATAAATAACTAACAGTAAAATTTTTTTAAATTTAATTAATATAATCTTATGTATCTAAATGTTTTTCCATTTCACCAAATGGACATTTCGTCAAAAATGGATCAAAATACAGCTTACCCAATCGGAGCATCGAACCAGACATAAAATACTTTTTCTTTCATTTCTTCAAGTGGAACAGGAGTACCCCATTTAAGATCTCTAGTAATACAACGAGGTTTTAGACCTTCTTTAAGCCAAGAATTTGTAATAGTTTTACTATTAGTTGACCATTTTCCTTCAACACTTGTTTTTATTACCCAATCTTCAACCGTTTTTTGCAGTGTATCTAAATCTAAAAACATATGTTTAGATTCTCTCATAATTGGTGTGCTTCCTTCTAATTTACAACGTGGATTAACTAATTCAGTCGCATTCAAGAGTTGTCCACAAGAATCACATTGATCTCCTCGAGCATCCTGCCAAGTTGAAAAAATTAACTACTTTATCGAAGGAATAGGAAATATTAAAGTTACATACCTCATAATTACATTTTGGGCAAGTTCCTTCAACGTAACGATCGGCAAGGAATCTAACAGTTCGAAAAAAATAAATAAATATTAAATAAGTCGAATAATGTTTTTATTTAACCCTATATTTAAAAAAACATACCTCTGGCATTTTTCGCAAAATAATTGTATCATGGCATCTTCAGAAAGATATCCATTTTTATAAAGTTTCATAAATATATCCTGAGCAATTCTAACCAGATCAAAAAAAAAAAAAATTATATTTATCGTAAGTCGAATCTCAAAAAAAAAAATTTAATACTTACTCGGTTTGTTGTCGAGTGGTAGTTCTACCAAAATAATCAAAATCAAGCTCAAACCATTCATATACTTGTTTATGGATGGCATTGTATTTATCACAAAGCTCTTGACAAGTAGTCCCTTCTTCAAGAGCTTTCGTTTCTGTTGCTGTACCATATTCATCTGTACCACATACAAAAAGTGTATTATATCGACGTGCACGAGAATATCTATACACACAATTTAATAATAATTTTTATGAATATCCCAGGAAGAAAAAAATATTTTTTTACGGGTTAATACCTAGCAAACACGTCTGCGCTTAGCACACTACCAATAATATTTCCCAAATGAGGAATATTATTAACATAAGGTAACGCACTAGTAATCAAAATATTTCTTTCTCCCTTAATAGGCTCCCTATTATAAAAAAGTTCGTAAACTTCCTTCGTTAATAAAACCAAGCACCAATGTGAAATACAAATAAAAATACACAGTACTTATTTTTTTCTTTTTCAATTTCAAGAGCCACACCAGAATTTATTTTTCGTTCAGACACTGAATTAGTCGACATTTTCAAAACTTTAATAATTCAGTACGATAAAAATGTCGGAAACAATAGCTGATAGATCAACTTTAATGTATATATCACGACACGTACTCACGTAATACTATGAAGTTGTATGAAGTTGCCGATCAGCCAATGAAATTTATCTGGATATTAAATCACTCGATCATTAAATGGTTTTTTTTATGGTTAGATATATGAAGAAATGACCACACAAGATAAAGAAGCTACTATTACACAATTATTCAAGGACGTTGAAAGACTTGTTAACCAAGAGGAATATACAAAAGCTCTCAGATCCCTTGATAAAAGTAATAATAATTATTTTCGCTTAATACTAATTAATTAATAATATTTTTTAATTAAAACTTTTTTGATATAGTTCTTCAATCAAATCCAGAAGACAAAGATGCATTACATTGTAAAGTAGTATCATATATAAGATTAGGAAAATATCAAAATGCATTAGATATTTTACACAAGAATTTTTCTGATTTTGATAAATTAAAATCAGAAGAAGCCTATTGTCTCTATAGACTAAATAAATTTGATGAATTATTAAATTTACTAAGGAAAAATAAATCAGGGAATAATAGTGAATTAAATTTAAGACACTTGGAAGCTCAAATGGTGTGTTTTTTTTATTCGTAAGTGAAATTGTAAATTTGAAAAGTTTTTTTTATGTACAATTAAATTGGGTAATTAATAGGCATATAAAACCGAAGATTACAATACTTCTATTGAGATTTATTATGCGTTACTACAAGAAGCCAATAAGGTACTAAGGAATTATAATATTTTCCAAAACAATGTGGTTGCAATAACATTTGTTATAATACTTTATTTGTAGAATGATGATGTTTATAATGACATTCTTACTAATTTCAATGCTGCTAAAGCAGCTTTACTGTTTTCAGATGGTCATTTGGATGAGAAGGTGAGTGTGAAGTTATTTTATATAATTGGTTTTGATTTTTATAATTTTAATTTTCTTTTCATATTTAGTATGCGATGACAGACTCACTTAACACTTATGAGTTAGCTTACAATACAGCTTGTACATATATTGGCCAAAAAGATTATAAAAAAGCCGAAAAATTGTTTAACATGGCCAAAAGTATATATAACAATTCTTTTTTCTTTTCGCTTAAACTACCTACCTCTTATACTTTATTTTTTTCCTTTGGCAGATATATGTAAGAAATCACTTTTATCAGAAGATTATACAGAAGATAAGATAGAAATAGAATTGGGAACAATTAACACACAATTAGGATATGTTTATCAATTACAAGGAAGAATTTCAGAAGCAATTGAAATTTATCAAAATATTCTTAAAGCAAAAGGAATGGATACCACAGTATCCGCAATTGCATCAAACAATTTAGTAGCTGCTAAGAAAGATTCTGAATTATTTGATTCCGCAAGAAAATTAAGAATTGCAAGTTCAAAACATTTAGATACTAAGTTATTTAGAGGACAGAAACGTGTAATTGCTATGAATGAAGCGTTACTTTCGTTATACATGCATAAGGCAAGCAAGTCGAGTGTTTTTTTTAAAAAAAACATTGTATTTCTTTTGGTAACTCATCTTTTCTTTATAGTATGCGGCATGTCAAGATTCAGCTCGTAAATTATTACAGATCTATCCAGAAAATGATGATTTGTATTTATTAATAGCATCTACATCATATTTACAAAAAAAAATTAACAAATCAATATCAGATTTACAAGAATTTGCTAAACTGAAACCCGAATCTTTACACATAAATTTTGCGTTGATGCAATTACAATTAATAACATCCAACCCAAATAATGCATTAGAAACTTTTGAAAAGTATTTATTAACTATTAAAGAAGATAAAGAACGGTATAAACCTGGTTATGTTGGTTTATTGGTTTGGCTCTATGAACAATCCGGAATGCACGAAAAGGCTATTAAAACCTTAGAAGATGCTGGCACTTTTTGGAAAAATAACTCTTCGGTAAATTAGATTTTTCTAATTAAAACGTCTTTTCTTTTAACATACTTTACTGGATATTATTTATATTTCTTTTGTATTTCTCATCAAACATAGTCGAGTGAAAGTACATTAATTCTTAAACAAACAGCAGCATTTAAAATTAAAACAGGTCATTATCAAGAAGCTGCACAATATTACGAACAACTTGTTAAGGTTGATCCATTAGATACACAAGCAATTGCAGGTTTGGTGTCAGCTTATTCTCATTATGATATCGAAAAAGCGGAACAATATGAGAGTTCTTTACCAGAAGTTAATTCTGGTGAAGGAACTGTTCCAATGGATATTGATGTGGATTCTATTGAAAGGATTGTACCTGGTGTAAAGAAAAGTTATTATAAGAAAACTGATGCTAAAATGTAAGTTCCGTGGCAAATTTAATTTATATTTAGAAGCGCTGGTTAATTACGTTAATTATTTAGTGATAGACCTTCTCAAAAGACTCATAAAAAGAAAAAAAAGAGAAAGCCTCTTCTACCAAAGAGTTATGATCCTAGCATACCTCCAGATCCTGAGCGATGGATACCTAAACGTGAAAGATCCTCCTTTAAAGCAAAAGGAAAACGCAAACAACAATTAATGAAAGGTGGTTCTCAGGGTACTGCTGTTGCCGGTGGTGGTATTGGTGGTACTGGAAGTGCTAATATAGGGAAAAGGTGAGGTTTATTTGATGGATTTATTGCTTATAATGTCAAATTATAAAACTATTTATTTATTTTATAGTGCTGTATCCGAGAATCAAGCTACAGCAACGGCGCAATCCACTCAATCCCAACAACCACCACCTAAACCTAAATCTGGTGATAATAAGAACAAGAAGAAGAAAAAGAAGGGAAATAAATGGTGAAAACATTAGTGAACATCTATTCGTTCAAGTATCATTGTAGCATTCTTGTTGAATTTATTTATTAATACAACATGCGTGATTTTTTAAATATTTTATTACTTAATCTTGGATATTGTAAATTGTAATATATTTCATTGAAAATTGTGCATTCTTTAAATTCAATATTATAATGTTAGTTTTGCGTGCTTTAGTCGTGTGATTCAACTCTTTAATTTAAATTTATCAAAGAATTGAACAGTATAAAGTTTAAATTAATATTGGATTGTATTACGAAGAATGTTGCCCTTTCAAGTTCTTTTCACTTTCATTCTCACTAGGAGTATTTGTTGTAGATTCCCCTTCATCATCTTGTTTTATTAAAACCTTGTATCTTCGCCAACACTGATTATCGGTCCTGCCGTTCATTTCAGCAGATATTTTAGACCATTTACCGACGCCAATTAACCCTACTAATCTCTTTAATTCTTTATCTTCCTCTTCTGTCCAGGGATCTTTTTTAACAGAAGGGCTTAAGACATTCATCCAACGTTCACGACATTGAACATCAGTTCTTCCTAAGACAAATTTCTGGATCTTCACCCAATTTCCAACACCATACATGTTAACAGCATTTTTTAGAGCTTCATCCTCCTCGGACTTCCATCTACCACGTCGTATAGCTGGATTCATTGTCTTTGTCCAACGATGAAGACATTGTTGTCCAGATCGATTCTCAAGGCAACCTGCAATCTGTTGCCAATTTTTTTCACCATATAAATCAACTGCACGAGCTAATATTTCGTCTTCTTCTTTTGTCCATTTACGTGGTCCGCTAGTTTGTTTATTCCATTGCTTAAAACAATCTGCTGCTGTACGATTTGTATTTAATTCCGTTGCGATTCGTTGCCAGTTGCGATTATTATGACGGGATGCAATTTGGCGTAATTTTCTTGTTTCTGCGGCGGTCCATTCACTTTTGTTAATACTAGGATGCTCATGAGTTGTCCATTGTATTATACATTCCTCAGGTGTCTTATTTTGAACATATTGTTTAGATAATTCACACCAATCCAAGCCTTCAACATTAATAAGGAAATATTGAGAATCTTTTTCTAGAACAGTGTCTAAAAGTTGATTTGATTGCATAGCTTTTAAGCATTCTCTGCGAAAGTTTTGGTCATATACACCTTGTGCCAACGCATCCTTTTCTTGTTGAATCCACTTAATGGGTTTAAACTTCTTCGGACGTTCTCTTAAATGGATATCATCATTTTTAGGTGGAGTGTTTCCATAAATATCTACAAAAAATGGAGGACCAAAATCTTTTGTCTTAGTTTCCGAAGAAAATTGGTTATTTTTAAGGTGCTTCAGTTTATTTTGAAGGTTAATATTCCTTGCAATAGCAGCTTCAACAGCAGCAATTTTCTTTTGTAGATTCGCTTGCAACTCGCGGTTGTATTTAAGTACTTCTGTAATATCTTTCTCCATCAATTACTAAATGTTCATTTGTCTAAAACTAAATCGCGAGCATAAAAAAACCTCGCAAAAAATTAAATTTAAACCATAATCGTTTCGACTATTTAGTAAACGTCAGTTTTATTTTATTCTTTTGTACTACACGTATATTTTATTCAAGTAGGATCGGAAACAATGGATCAGGATTTATTAAATAGAATGCCCAATAACCCAATAACAGATAATCAAAGAAAATTCATTTGAATGTTGGACATTACTCATTTTAGTATGATATACAAGTGGACTATATTTCGATTACTTTAAAAGTCTAATAAACCTATTTTTTTTTTAAATACGAAAAACGGAGTATGTCAAATCTCTTATCCGCCTTTGTTGACATGCGATAAGGAAAATAATGTCTACAGCACCCGGGAGTCAATCAGGTTAGTTAATTATTTAAAATATTCATTTATCTATTTTTTTTTTTGGTTCTAACGATCAATTGTTTACTACTACAGGTTTTCACAATGCCCCCGTAACAAAAAGTCTCTTACTTTGTATAGGAGGATGCTCGCTAGTTGCATATTTGCTCGACAGCAGATCTTTATTTCATTTGCAACTTATACCCAACTTGACTGCAAATCATGAAGTAAAGTACAACCTCTTTATAAATATTTTACAAACTAAATAAAATTTTTATTAATTCTTTTTTTTTTAATATTAGTTTTGGCGATTAATAACGTCACATAGTGTTTTAACTACATCGGGTGAATTTTTCTTTGGGAGTATAATAATATATCATCTTAGAATAATAGAACGCCAATTTGGATCATCAAAATATGCGGTATGTGAATTAATGTAATTAAGTTTTTGACATTTTTAGAATTCTACTAACAATTTCAACGCGTGCAGGCATTCTTTTTCGTGTCATCTGCATTATCGACAATTCTGGAAGTTGGTACACTTGCAATTGGCAGGCAATTTCATTTGAAATTCATACCTGCAGGTCCTTATGGTTTCATATTTGCAGCACTTTATCAGTACTATAGAATGATTCCATATACTTATCAATATCGAGTATTTGGTATAAATATAAGTAATAGGGTTGTGAATTGTTTGAGTGTTATACCGGTAAGTTTACAATTAATATAATATTTATTATAATATTGACTTTTTAAATGATTGTATTCTGACTATTATAGTTCCTTGTATATTAGTTCCTTTATTATCAATATCCATCTTCAATTGCCGCTAGTGTATGTGGGCTTTTATCCGGCGTCATATATAGGAGTGGTTTTTTGAGACTGAATAAATTCCGTTTTCCTGGATTTCTTAATCGATTCGCTTCAATGTTTATATTACCTTTATTGTCAACAAGATCATCTAGACGTTCACCATTTCTTATACTTGACCATCGGGGGCAAGAAGTTCAGCATAATCAAACTCAAACTCAAGCAAGGCGCCATGTTCCTGCGCAAGAGCCACCTCAGCCTATTGTAACACCACGAGTAAGTTGAAACTTTTAATTTTAATAATTTAAAATTATTCTCATAAATTATCCTTTATTTATAGCAACCAGTCGTTAATGAAGAAAATATCGCTGATTTGCGAGCTATGTTTCCTCAAAGTTCTCAGGAGGCTATCACGCGAGCTTTGCTTACATCCGATAATGATATTAATAGAGCGGTCCAGTTTTTACTGGACCATCATAATTAACAGATTCATTAATGTAATAACTTACTTTAATTAAACGAATATTATATTATAATAAGTTATTAGGTTGACAAACATATTATGTTGGACTTTATGAACCAATTATATATAATTCATATCGTACAATTGCCAAAAAATACTGAATCTTATATAAAATGTAGAGTTATAAAGAATTAGTTTCAAATTTACCTGTTTACCAAAAAAATTTTTAAATTTCATTATAGAAAATTAATTAATGTAAATTAAATAGCGTATCAAAGCATTAATCGGTGTGATCAATTATGTAACAGTACAAAAATAAACAAACTTAAACAAAACAAGCATTAAAAAATAAACTTACCCAATTTATCACTTACCAGAAATATCTTGCTTTTCCTGTTGAAATTGATGGTAATACTACCAGAATTATAATATAGAGTTTGCAAGTCTCAAAAAGTTTATCTTTAAAGAAATAAAAATAAACTTAGTATTAAAGATCCTGGTGATTTGAAACTTGGAAAAGTTGATATAGATGAAGGATGTAAATTTGACAAAATTAAAAATGAAGATATTAAACAAAAACTAATAAACAGTAGGGGATCACTAGAAAGCTTGAAGATAAATCTAATTTTCCATAGTAAAATGCTATGCAATCATATATAATTATTTATTATATGCAGTTAAGTATAAATCAAATCTTAATTATAGATATTATATAGTTATTAGATATAGTTTAATATAAAAATAAATGTTGAATAATTAGCTATCATTATAATAATTATATTATAAATTTTACAATATTTTTTATTAGAGTAATCTTAATTATTTTATTGTAAAAATATTTTTATTAAATAGCAACAAGTGTGTTTTCTAAATGAATTTTTTCTAGTGCTGCTGATATTATTACCTATGATAGAACAAGTCTTAACCCTGAAACAGTACATTCAGTCATGTACTTAAAACATTAGTACCTTTTAGGTTTATTAGATTAATTAATATATAAAGAATTTTATAAAAAAAAAGATATTTTTTTTTAGTTAGGATGCATAAACATTTTTTTTTTGATAAAAGAAATTATTTAATGTTATGTGACAAATATAAAAAACTTGCTTTATTAATAATATATGCAAAAAATAAATACAAAGTTCAATGCAATACATGATGAATTTTTATAACTTTGTAAAACATTTTTTTATAACATTTTGCAGTATTTTTTAATCATTTTTTAAATAAAAAAACTAAGCAATAAATGTTATTTCTAATAATTGGTAAATCAGTTTAGTTTTTAGTAATTACCAAGTGGTATCGGTATTAGTAATTACTAAAATTGATAGGTTTCAGTATTCAGTAATCATTAATACTGATACCGATTAATTCGATTCAGTTTCAGTTTTTGTAAAAATTAACTAAACTGAACTAATTAGAGCCCTGCTATTTTGATATATACCAATCAAAACTTTTTTAATAAGTTTTATTTTTTCCTGTTCCATCACAAACTGAACTAATTATATGTATTCCTACATATTCCAGTTTTGCTATAAAACTAAAAATTAATATGTTTAAGTAATATGCTATTATATTATTAATATTATAATATAATATAAAAAATGTAAAGTTATATGTTACTAAATGCCAAACAATTTGATAAATTTGAGTTGCAAGTCCATATTTTTGTTCATCATATAAAGAATTGTTTTCTGTTAATGTTGATTCTATTTCTTGCTAACATTGTATAGCAAATACTTGATAATCTTGCATTTCATTTTTAAAATCCAAATAACCAATATAACAATTTTCACATTGGTTTCAAAGAAAACCTAAAGAATATAAATTTTTATAGTAAAATTAATTAAAATTCATTTATAAATTTAACAATGATTATAATTTACTTTTTTGAATCTTAAAAGAATCATGTGAAAAAAATCCCACTTGTCTATATTTCCAAATTTTGTTTATTGTTAAACTAGCTAACATCTGATAAGTAATTTTATCTTGCCATTGCTCACATTCATTAATATAGCTTTTGAGTGTAAAAATTAATAGTAAACACATAATTGCTTTCATTGCATCATAAGCTACATGACCAAATCTACTATATATAAATATAGCTTAATATAAAAATCTAAATTTAAAAAATATATAAATTTTTTTTATATTTAATATAATATTTTTTAATCAATTAATCTTATATTAGATGATATCTTGTTCCATTTGGTTTTTCAGTTTGAATGTAAATAAATTCTTGAAAAATAGAATGAAAAGTAAAAAAATTTATATTTTCATTAATAATATTTTTAGTAATAATATGTATAATATTTGCAATATTATCTGATACTTTTACTTTTTCTTTTTTAATTTTTTTCTTTTAAACACTCTTTTAGACTAAGGTTAGATTAGTTCAGTTCAGTTCAGTCCAGTTCTAAAAAGACTGACCTTTCAGTTAAGATCAGATTAAACTGGAACTGGACTGATTAATATTTAAAAAATTTAGTTCACAACCCATTTAATTAGATTTATAATTAAAAAAATTTATTTAAGTTTTAGTAAATTATAAATTAATCTATTTCGTTTTGATCTATTTACTATAATTATAAATAAAGTAAAAGTGAAATATACAAACTTCACTAAATTAATTTAATAAAAAATTCTCATTTAAAATAAATATTAGTGCCTTTAAAAGTTTAAAATTTGATTTATTACTATGTAGCAATTTTAATACAATAATTTCAAAGATATCAATTAATGAATACACCAAATGACTAATTAATAAATGACTTCACGAATTTAACTTTTCAAATACAATGTGCTCTAGCTGTTTTGGCATCCAGTTTATTTCTCAATAGCAAAATTGTTAGTCCTGCTACTGAGAAAGCCTATTCTAAAGCCACGCTCATAACTTGAGTACACAAATAATCTCATGCAATTTGACTTAGAATTAGAAATTCTTCCTATTGAACTTACTATCAAAACAGGTAATCAACTTGGTCTTCTAATGATATTGCTAAATACTTTTTCATTTTATAATCAAATGTTCTGGATACCAATATATTGGTATTTACTATTAAATATAATAGTATTGTTACATAAATTTCAAAAGAAATTTTGCGTTTTTATAATATTATTTTCAGTTTCTTCTATTGTAATTTCTGCAAGTAGTGGTGATAATGTGAAGAAATATTCAATTAAATTAGGATTGGAAAAACTTATAATAGGGTCACTGTAGTACTCAATACGTACTATACCTATTATTAGAAAAAAAAAAAAAATTCTGAAAGATTTTATTATATTTATAATGATCTATTGCTATTGGTATTATTAAAAAATAAATTTATTTATACAATACATATCCATCTTATATATAATACTAATCTATTGTTATTAATATGGGAGTGACTATAGTAATATTGCTGCCTAAAACTTATTTAATGATAAAATTCAAAAATCTGAAACTCAAAAACTTTATTTTTAATGAAAAAATTGGTAAATCTGAAACTTTTCTAAATTATAATTAGTTTTAGAAAAACATAAAAACAGTTTTAGCAATTAAGTTTATTATAAAAAATAGTTTCAAATTGAATTTTGACTAAACTAAAATTTTGAAAAAATAGTTTTGGCAAGCATCCTTATCTATAATATTTTGCAATTTAAATAATTTAAATATATTTAACTCAAATCTAATTTAACTTAAGCAAAAATTTGTTTAATAACTTAGCTTAGCTTATTTGATTTGAACTAAGGTTGCTGGAGAAACTAGAGGATTTTGGCAAGTTGGCGAAATGCTGAAATAGTGAAACTTTGCCGAAACTATATGAAAGTCTTATTAAAAAGTTGGTGAAACTCTGGAGAAAAGCGAAACCTGACGAAACTTATTATAAATGCTGAAACTGCCGAAATCTTGCCAAAACTATAATAAAACTATAGTAAAATCTTGGAGAAACTAATCGTAGAATTTTGGAGAGGTTTAGGCAGGCAACTTTAATTTGAACTAAAGATTATTATAACCCACTTATATTAAACCAAACTATAAAAATTTATAGTTTAGCTTAGTTTGGTTTAATATAATTTTTTGAGTAAATTCTAGTTTAGCTTAAACTAGTTTATACAAAACTTTAATTACTTAAGTTCATTAGTAGTTAGTGATGATCACTTAGCTAGAATTACAAAATCTAATAAAATACTGACTAGTATTACTTACCAAGAGATAAAGAAGTTCAACAAATATATTATACAATAATATTCTTAATAAATAAATCTGTTTTACATATAAAATTCATATGTATTACTAATAAAATATGTTCAATAAAGAAAATACCCCTATAATTATAAAACTCAATAATACAGTATTATAGGAATATGAAATATTCAACTTTATTAGAAAAATAAATAAAGATGGCATAGTAAGTCAGGTGATTGTGTAACCTTATGTAACCTAAAGTAATACAAAAGTTAACTTTATGAAGTCAAAGTTAATATACAAGACCCTAAGGAATTAGATGCAGGTTGAGGAAAATGGAATGAATTCAAAATGAATTGGGGAAAACAGACAAAATCAGAATTAAAAGATGGGAAAAAGTTAGAAAATGGAAAAGGGACCAAATTACAAACAAGGGAAAATATTTGGACATTCGTAAATACAGTAATATTTAACAACTCCGGGTCCGATTTTGATCCAGAAACGCGAATATCCCGGAATCTCAGATTATGATAAACCCTATTATCATATTCATAACACTGATCGCTTTTGAATCATAAAAAAAATCCGATGAATTCGAAAGTACTACGAATTCATATATGGTTTAGGTAATTTTGCTACATTGCAATGCTAGTCCAAAAGGGCTTATTTTAACAATTAGTTTCCAAATTTAAAATTTTGTTATAACGAAAAACATAAGAAAAAAAAATAAAGAATAATATTTTTATTTGGTTGGCCGAACGAGATTGTTGTGTGATGCTGATCATAAACTGGTAAAATTTTTTTGCCTTTAAATTTTTTTGTCAAGCTTGTTATTTAATGAAATGTGCTTTTTATTACGCGTACTGCAAAGATTCATACGATACCAATAAAACCCTATTTTTTGCTCTTTAACTTTAAAATTTAGCCAAAGTTTCAAAATTTGTATTTATCAACCGTATATTAAGTATTAACAATACCAATAAATTAGTCTTGACTTGATTATTTATGGTATGTTATTGTGGAATTGTATAAAGCAAAGAATGTTAGCACTAATATGTAAGGAATATCAATTTGTTACGTTGTTGAAGAAAATTATTTAACTATTTTCTGTGTATTTTTAGATTATGATATAATTTATCAAATATTGTTAATGGAAAGAAATGCTCAAATAAATGGGAAACTCCCATCAACAAACAAGAGAAAAAGGAATAGATAGTAATCAGGTATAACCAAAATCTTTTACTTGGTTAAATTATCTGACGGCTAGAGCTTAGATTCAAGAACGAGCAAACTGTTATAACAAGAAACACGATCAAGCCCATATGTAATACGTAAATCAAGATTCTCATTCATCATAAACTTTCACGTCATCATTTGCAAATATTCACAAGATATGTATACGTACAGATACAGAAACTACAGCTGTTGTCTTTAAGAATAGGGACATTAGTATTCAGAATTTCTTTATTAAATTAACTTTTTAGACTTTTTTTGTTTACTTTGATGAATTACTTTCTTTTTTATTTTTTAAAGTAATTCTTCATGATTAAAATTCAAAGGACAGAATTTGATTTTTACTTTATTATTTTATTTTGTTTTTAACATAATATTTGTTTTATTTATCTAAGGCGTGGTGTATCAAAATGGCTGATATTTTTCTTGGATCCGTATTGATGTTATTTTTATTGTTTATTTTTTCATTTATTCAAATGAAATTGGATGATTCTTATCGCGACTGCATAAGGTTCATCCATCTAAAATGCCATTATCCTCTTCTTTTTCTTCATACTACTTTTACATGAACTCATGGATGGTGCTAATTTTCCGTAATGGAATTTTACACAATTATGGTAAATCTTATTGCAGCGCGTCAATTTTTTGATTCTTACTTTATTAAAAAATAATTTAACTTCACAAATAAATTAGGAATTTGGGACCTATGTGCTTTAGCATTCTCCAGTATGTAAAATTTTTTTTTCTTTAATCAGAATTGTATCATTATTTTTTTTTTCTAATTGTATTATACTTCTAGATATTTTGCGTGTTCCTTGCGTTGAAGGTTTCATCGGCATTCAAATAAGTTGTCAGCAGCATTCAAATATGAATATTGAATATAGATCTATGCGGGAAACCTTTAAATGTTAAATTAATTATTTATCATAGACTATTTGTGCATACCAATTCTGCTTTATCAAATCTGGAAATCTGGTAAAGTAGTCATATAACATTAATCGACGCTAGTTGCAACTGTTTTATGTGATCATAATGACTGTAAGAAACGCAAAAAAAATTCCAGACTAATATAACGAAAATTTTCAGCACCTTTAGTCGATATATATATAGCGATCTTTCCAGTATATAAGAAGAAAAAGAGTCACAATGTCAGTTCTCTGTTTTCTGCTCGCTAAGATACAAACAGAGTGGAACAAAGGGGAGTTCCTGGTTAGAGAAGGAGTTTGATATAGATACCTGGGGAGATTGACATGCATTGTCATTTTTGCTATTGTAATCGCTATGGATTATTATGGCTTGTGTTTTTTATGGTATCAAAATTCTAATCCATTATTGTCTAATTTCAATAAAAATTCTTGATGCAATTAATAAGGTAAGATTCTATTTATTAATTACTGAAAAAAACTCAGATATACGTAATGTCCTTTCAATATAGATCTAAACAAAACCAATGTCGATACTTGTTTTCATGTGTGCATGGGGAAATCTATTTTCAAATCGTCATTATACAGATGACACAATTATAGATTATATTTCGTATTTTTCTTGAAGATTATTATTTTGATTTTTTGGAGATTGCAGAGATTAAAGCGCACGTAATTTTCGTATCTACTTATGCATAGACGCGTCAGGCACATTTTTGATGTAATGGAAGTATGGAACGCTTATTCAATGATTTCAAATTTAAATTATGTAATATTTTTGGCCGTTCCCAAAAAAAAAGATTTAATTGATTTAATCTAAATTAATATATTGATTATGGCTGCTATAAATTATTGTACATAACCAAAATTATAAAGATTTTAAAATATTTTTATTGTGGATATTTTTATCATCATTAATTTATAAAGTATCACAACATTGTTTACTAGTTTCAGTAACAAAGACAGATGAGGCGTTTTCAACGTGATCTAATTTGTACGTCTCATAATGAGATAAAAAATCATTGTTCAAGTGTATTTGATTAAATGTAATAATTACCGCACGTTTTTAAGAAACATGCTGATTGCTTTTATTTTGAAGTAAAAAAAATGGTTTTTAATTACTTATTTTATTATTTTTATTTTATTTTATTTATTTTATTTTTTTCAAAAAAAAATGCATCTAACTTTATAAATTTTAAAATATACTCCTCGTAAATTTTATGCATAAATCCTCTTCAAAATAATCGACTTGCCATGTAAAACTCTATATATTCATTCGATTTTGCCATTTCCGAATGTTTAATAGGATTTTATCGTAGAAGTTTGATTGGTCTTACGAATAGCGGGTTAATCAATATAGGAGGTGATGATATGAAAAAAATGAATGATTAAAATTTTTCTCGATAATTTTTTAACCATCACCACCGAATGATAAGATCATAATTTTTATGTACTGAAAATTGTACATAAGATTCTTATTAATTGATTGGGTTTATAATAATATTCCGAGTTCCGACCAACTAAAATTAGGGTGTCATATCATGTTGCTTCAACATCTCGCGCGAACGAGTCGATACTTAATGAAAGAAGCCTTGTTCTCCTAAAAGATTTATGTACGTTATTTTATATATAGTCTTGTCATATACTATTTGGTAAAGGAAAATGCGTTTTGGCCATTGAAATTGAAGGATTTAAAAAAAAATTTAAATATTATTTGAATATGGTAATGTTTCAATGTCGCGTTTGTAACATATGCAGATTATCAAATGATACCAATTAATTCATGATCAGCTGAAAACTCCGATATTATATTTATTAGTATTGGTTATATTTATTGAAAACCCTGAAAAAACCCTTTTTTTAACAAGTCACAGAATTCCAAATATATCAGGATAATTACACATCCACAAATCAGAATAATTTATACGTGATGCAAAAAAAAAAAAATATATGCAAGTAAACCGACAAGATCAAAATAAAAAAAACAATGACTTTGATATACAAAGAACAGGACTTTTTTTTAGTTATGTTTCAATTTTTTTATTTATAAATACGCCTTATCAAACTGTATTTGAGAGATTTATGAAAATGCAGCTTATTTATGAGTAAGTCTCTTACCCCTGTTCAAAAAGAAAAACATACCATACCTTTGGAAAAAAAAAAATAATAATCCTTATCAACTTAAATTTACCAATAATAATATATTTAATAATAATAATAATAATGGATATTTTGTACGAAATTAAAATTGAAATATTCAAATACATCGATAATCCGATTTCACTCGCTCTTGTTAACCGTACTTGGTTTACTGTTTTCCATGATTCGCACGCAAGATCTGAATGGCTTCTTAATAAATATGGGAGAGCATATGCATTATTCCATGCAGTTAGACTTGGAAGCAATTTTCTCACGTTAGATGTTATAAAATGTTTGATAGCTAAGAAAGCAATTTTATCACGTTACTTTGTTCAAAGACTTATGTTACAATGTGGAAAATGTGATCAGAGATTACTGGAACTAAGAAGTACTTACAATTCGAACCAAGATTATGTCAAAAAATTAAATTTTTCCCAAATGAATAACTGGGGCAATGACCTGTCAGTAGATGTATTCGTATTTATTTTAGAAGAAGCGATGAGATTATATAATTCAGACATATCATTAAAAGGAAATGACATAGAACTCCTTCATTTCCTAACAGCCGGTCCTTTAATGATAGGTCTCGCATCTAAACAATTATTAGATAATATTGAACAAATTAAAGATTTAATATTAAACAAAAAATTCGTACCTTTCCCTCCTTCGACAGACTCATCTAATAGCGAATATCCTCGAACTGATGGTTATGAAAACATACGTCAATTAAATATCATAGCTCGCGCCATCGTATTATATCCTGATCTCGTAAAGTTATGGAAACAAATTGGTTATCATGAAATATGTGAAGATATGAATAGCCTTGTGATTCAAGGCGTATATTTGATTTTATTTCCACCCAATCCTAATCTACAAAACTGGGTGTACCCAGACGAGAAAGTAATTTCTATAAGATTAAAAACATTTCTTGATCTTGGATTTAAATTGGACAACTATACAATAAAGTCGGTAATTTACCTATTTAATGATAGGTTATCAGAAATAGGTGAAGTTATACTAAAATCATTTTGCTTAGTCAATAATTGAAAGTTATATGGGAGTAATAATAACAATTTTTTGTGATTTTTTAAAGGAAAAACATTTTTCGTAGTTGTGTTTTTTTTTTCTTTGAAAATATTTTTTGAAAATAATAATTATTTTAAAAAGAAGACTGATATACAGTATGAGGAGTAAAATATCGGTCACCCCGCAAAAAATACGTAAAATTTCAGCTTATTCTAAGTTTTATTTATTAGTATGTTTTTTTAAAAGCTTTGTAAGATATATATATTTTTTATTTGATTTAAAATAAAGAATGCTTTATGAAAAAATTATGGTCTTATTATTACATGATTTACAATATTTCGGAATTAATTTCGAACTATTCGATACGATGTAATACGAAATACGTGAGTAAGTTCGATCATAATTTTCAATTATTTACTCTGTAGTAAAAAAAGATAAATTTTTTAATTATTATAAATTCCCTACAGGGTAATACGCATTTTATCATACTCCAGCCAAAGAACATAAGTATTAGTTATTTACTAATCTAGTAGTATATAAATGGGTTATCATCCGAAGGATGATGGCCCATTTATATACTAAACTAGATCAGTAAATAACTTTTTTATCATCCTAGATATACTAATTGGTCCGCCAGTTTATAACTGGCGGAAAAAATCCTAAATACCAATTAGTAGCCAGGTGATAATTATATTTAAACTGCGTTACAAGTAACTCAAATAGTCTATTGTAAAAAGCTATAACTGTTATGAGTTAGTTTAGAAAAATTTATATTACATGCTTTACATATGTTTACGCCATTATTAATAATTTGATTTAAAAATATGAAAAAATAATATATTTTTATAATAACGTAACTTTAATATATTAATTATTCTATTATTTTTTTTTGTGTTCTTTGTGTAATTCTTTTAGAAGTCTGGAACAAACTTATGGAATCTCTTACCTTTCCTCGTTGTAATTCCAAAAAAGGAAAATCTAATTTCTCAGATTTGCCCTAAGGATCTGCAAAATTACGAAATTATGATTTTTGCTTAGTAAATCATTGCAATACAGGTGCTTAGTAATACTTATCAATAAAATCATATCAGATTCAAAATTGTAACCCATCTTCTTTTTCTATCTGCATACCAAGCAATAAGGAACTTGGTATCTCATCAAACACCTTGTACTGTTGGTTAAAATAAGGATAAATTACTGCTAAAATATCTCCTTCTGGTATTTGCCTTTACAACATATATTCCATTTTTCCAGACTTTACTTTACTAAATGTTAATAATACACCATCACTACCACTACTACCACTACCATCTTATATATTCAAGTCTTTAGTAAAAAGAGAACTTTAAATGGTATATCCAGCCCAAAAAAACTGAACTTAAAAAAGCAAAAAAATGAAGTATTTGTTAGTTAAAAAAATAAAAAAAAAAATTATTTTGATGTATACTTAAATAGAATTCCAGACCTAAAAAAAATTTTTAAAACATTGATGTTTTATTAATAATTAATAAAAATAAATTATAAAATATATTTAATGAGTTCAGAGAGGACCCAGAAATATATATATAGGGGTCAGGTGGCGAAAAATTTTTTTACTATGAGCTGTACGCAGAGACTTTTTATATGAGTAGTATGCATAATTGATACCTGATATTGAAAATCCTGCAAAAATACGCAAATAAAATTTCAGACTTCTATATTATTTATAAAACCAAATACTAATGTGAAAAAATAGAATTTACCATTTTTTTAATAATATTTTTCTAAAATTTCACTTTTTAACCCTTAGAAATTTCTTTCAATTAATACTAAATATTACAATGCGATTAATTAAATAAGTACATACAGTAAATATATTATACATATATAAGATTAGTCAAATTTAGGCCAAAAATACGCAAACTAATTTTTTACATATAAAAATTTTGATAAAAAATACGCAATCTTAATGACCTAACTATAGATGAAAAATTCTAAAATTGTACGCAAATCAAAACTTTACTCCGTCTAATTCTACTATGATGGCGACGCATCTGTGTACCCTACCCCTGTATATATATTTCTGGGTCCTATTCAGAGACTGTATTTTAAAAGCACTTTAATAGAAAAAATGTTCAGAGATAATAACTGAAGTGAAAGTATAAAACTAATTTTTTTTTACCTATTCTTATATATTGTAGATAATATTTTAAATATTAGATGAACTTGCCAATTTCATCTAGAAATAGAATATATAATAAAAAAAAGATGAATAAAAATAATTACATATTATAAAATATTTTTTACAAATATCAATGACTTATTAGACTACTGATAGATATAATAAATTCTTTAATATTTTAACAATATGTTTTTAAAAATCAGTTTATAATCATAAAATATTATTAAATATATCGATTATTAATATTTATAATATTGCCTATTATACCATATCAGATATCAGATTTTTAACAATTTTCTATTATTTGACTAATATATCATTATTTGATCTTTATCATTTGATATATTATATATTTTAATATCATTTTGATATTATTTTGATTATTTATTTTAATATAATTTTAATATCATTTTAATGTTATTTAATATTAAAATTAAAACAATATTAAAATTATTTTACAATAATATTGAAATGATATTTTTTTTTATTACTATTATTTATTATATTCAAAGGAATTGCTATATATCAATACAAAGGTGAGACTATATAGGTCTTTATACTACCCTAAACAATTGAAAAAGTTGCCTATCTGCATACAGATATCATATATCCTATGAGTTAACATACTATACTAAAAAAGAAATCGGTAATTAGCAGTAAAAGTAGAAAAACTCTATTCTAAATCCACATACTAACTAATCAGAGTAAGTAAAATTTCTGAAAGAAACAAAAATTTCTATCTAAAAAAATAAAAATTAAAACTATATTCTTCGCAAAGAATAAGAAACTAACTTCTTATATATAGACCAAAAGTAGGTCACCCATTTCAGATCCTGTCTGTCAGCTTCTATCTTTAGCATCTCCTTCAATTCAGTTACTTTTTTATAAAGTTTTCACTTGAAGATCCTAGGGTTCTTCTTAGTCTTGTCCTTTTTGTCCTCAGACTTGTGGTTCTGGTTTGAAGTGCTTCTTGAATTGTTTTTCTTCATTTCTCGATTATATATTCTACAGTCGAATATTTAGGGGAATCCTGTTAGTACCTGTGGCTTTATCCTTAGGATTGGGATTCTTTTTCTGAAAGTTGTTGGAAACCTTGGATTTATCTTTATATTAATACTTGATGTAGCCTTAGATTTCCAAGTAAAGCGTAAAGAAATATCACAGGTTGAAAAGTGAAAAATCAGGCATTAATCAGTTACCAATCGAAGGTAGCTGATTGGTGACTAATTGGTAACTGATTGGTAACTAATTGATGTCTGATTTTTCACTTTTCGACCTGTGTGTGGCGGTACCAATCTAAAGTTTTGCTATCAATATCGTACATTTTACCTATAAAATTGTTTAGATTTTCCTATTTTTTCAGATAAATTACGAGCTTGCACTTCCTTTCTTCTGTTGTAATAACTTTAAAAGCTTTAAAACCATTAATCGCTGTTAAAGTCAGATGGGTTTGATTTTAATAAAACAGTGTTGCAGCTATCATTGAATTTGGAATATCATGGAGAGTTACTTGAAATCTCTCTCTTTTTTTTTTTCATAGAGAGATCAGGTGGTTAGAAATCATCTTACTGGAATGTTTCCTAATGGTGCTGTCCAGGCTCTATTATTTCATACTTTACAGAAACCTTGAATTTTTAAACAATACCGAATTGATATAATAATGATGTTAAATAAATATCGTGGAGATATCGATTTGCAAATGATATCATTATGATATCGCAATGATATCATTTCAATATTAATTCAATATATCGAAATGATATCGTAAAGATATTTGTTTGAAAAAATATCAGATCGATATCATTTC